AGTGATCAATCACATTCACCGCCCACACACACAAAGCCACTTACAACAAAAGCAATCAATAAGAGGTTTTACATGAATGGAGATTATAAATATCATTTTAAATGTCCATTTTGCACGCACTGTGACAGAACACAATGTCCTTTTAATAAATGCACAGTACATTAATACTGTTCTATCTACACTGTGCTAGCTGTTTGTATTGACTGAAATTGTTGGAATAAATAACAACTACTTTTTATCACAGACAAATGTTATAATAGATGATGATAATAATAATAATAATAATATTAAACAGAGCGGTTTCTAAACTTTTGCTTCATAAAATGACTCTAAAAATAACAATTAATTAATTTATTAATACTATTACCGCCATACTAACGGTAAAAGGTAGGTGTGGTCCAGTCATACTGCACATGTATCTTCGTATGGCTTCATGTACATGTTCCGGTTGTATGGCAGTGGGCGGGACAGTGAGAGGCGGGGCAACTGGGGGCGGAGTTTGGAGAGGAGGTTCAGTAACTGATGACTATACAAAATAAATAAATAATTATTGTGAATTATTAATAAAACCAAGTGAACCTTTGATTGTCTACTTCTCTTCCTTGATCTTGATTTTGTAATTATGTGAGTGGGCGACGTCATTGTCCCTAAATTAATAATAATAATAATAATAATAATAATAATAATTAATAATAACTAGAAGAATGTAAAACATTTAAAGGGGCTCAGCCCCCGAGCCATGCTATTGCTGTGCTGTATGACCTTCCTTGCTGCTTGAGAAGCTTTTGGACATCAGTTTAGTGTCATATGCAACTTGGTGACTGTTTGCTGCAAATGAGCACAAAGTTGCTGATAGCTGCCATTTTATTTCTTTCAATGAACATTAGGCTATTTAACTTTAATAATAGCTAGACGACCCTATCATGCCCGTACAGACAGACAGATGTTTTCTCTACTTAGTAGGACTCACCCAATAATTATAATTACACGTACATCAATACATGTGTGTTTAATGTTTGGTGTCCTCATTACAAAGGTTTCCTAACCTGGTGAGTTTTTAGGTGATCCTGGGGGTGTGGCTTCACCAGTGGGTGGGGTCAGGAATGACGGTGTATTTTCATACGATATTACTTCTTGAGGTAGTGAAATGGGAGTGGTTGAAGGGGCAGTGCTACCGGTAGGATCAACAATGTAAGATTTTTGTTCTTGCTTGACAATCAGTGACATCTCAACTAACTATGTAACACAACGATACTATAAATAGTAGCATTGCTTCAAATAGAAACGATATACTATAAATAGTAATAGTGCTTAAAACAGAAATGATATGCTATAAATAATAGCAGTGCTTCAAATAGAAATGATATACTATAAATAGTAGCAGTGCTTCAAATAAAAATGATATACTATAAATAGTAACAGTGCTTAAAATAGAAACGATATACTATAAATAGTAGCAGTGCTTCAAATAAAAATGATTTACTATAAACAGTAACAGTGCTTTAAATAGAAACAATATACTATAAATAGTAACAGTGCTTTAAATAGAAACGATATACTATAAATAGTAACAGTGCTTTAAGTAGAAACAATATACTATAAATAGTAACAGTGCTTTAAATAGAAACGATATACTATAAATAGTAACAGTGCTTTAAGTAGAAACAATATACTATAAATAGTAACAGTGCTTTAAATAGAAACGATATACTATAAATAGTAACAGTGCTTTAAATAGAAAAGATACTTACACTTTGCACTGCTCTGTAGGCTATGTAAGCTAATAACTCAATGACAATCTCATGAACTTTAACATCAGCAACCAATGACTGGAGACACAACCAATCTTTGAACTTTTTCTCTAAAAGTAGGAGGAGCTAGTTATTAATGTGGGCGAAGCTAGATATTAATACATTAATTGAGCTGGTTGACGTACTGTTAACAAATGATGCTCTCCTTGACTGAGTAAAGTCATTATACTGGGACAAGCTCATCGACTTGGTGTGTTCATCCAACTTCTAATTAATGGATCCACATGCAATAATAATAATAATAATAATAATAATAATAATAATAATAATAATAATAATAATAATAACAATAATAATAATAATAATTTGTGAAAAATACCAAAGTCATTTTTTGGAAAAAATCATGCATAATTTTTTCTTTAAAATGGCCAAAAAATCATCCCAAATTTTTATTACATTTTCTGATACAAATTGATGTCTTTATGCTGTGTAGAAAGTTTGAGCTGATTCCGACTTCAAATTTTCAAGTTATGGCTATTTTAAGAAAATGGTAAAATTTGGAAAAATACCCAAGGCTATAGCCCATGGTTTTTTTCTGAAAAATGGCTCCAAAATCATCCCAAATTTTTATTATATTCTCTGATACATATTGATGTCCTTATGCTGTGTAGAAAGTTTGAGTTGATTCCGACTTCAAATTTTAAAGTTATGGCTATTTTAAGAAAATGCCAAAATTTAGAAAAATACCCAAGGCTATTACCCACGGTTTTTTCCAAAAAATGGCTAAAAAAATCACCCCAATTTTTTCCCATTTTCTGATACATATTGATGTCCTTATGCTGTGTAGAAAGTTTGAGTCGATTCCGACAAAAAATTTTCAAGTTACGGCCATTTAAAGAAATCAGGAATACATTAGAGAATAAACTATATGTAGCTGACCTGCTGATGTTCAATGTCATAATCTTTGTATTGCAATAATTCTAAAAATAAACAAACAAATAATTAATCACTGAAGGACAGGTAGTGTGGACCCACAGGCTTGTACCAATTGGGACTTTACAACTACATGTACATGAATATCCCTAAGTGTGTGTGTGTGTGTGTGTGTGTGTGCGTGTGTGTGTGTGCGTGTGTGTGTGTGTGTGTGTGTGTGTGTGTGTGTGTGTGTGTGTGTGTGTGTGTGTGTGTGTACATTGTATTGCTTCCTCCATATCACCAGCCCATTATTATTATAATTATTATTCTGTTAAAGGTTTCCTATACCCACCAGGTGTCCACCAATAACCACCGCACACACACACCATACCCAGTACAGCCAGTACTACAGTGTTCATCTACAGTATTAATGTACAGTATTAATGTACAGTATTAATGTACAGTATTAATGTACAGTATTAATGTATTAATGTACAGTATTAAGTGACTGGTGTATTATCCAGTGGTTTCATGTTCCATTAGGTGTACATTACATGTTGCTAAGGTTCCTGTCTCTCCATTGGATACATGTCCTGATGTGTACATGTACTTCCCCTCAGCTCAATTTCCTATTCTACCACCACATGTCTCTATGTGTACATTGTACTGTCTGTGTGTGTGTGTGTCTGGCTAGACGGACTGTATATAAGGAACAGCTGGTCTGTTTAATAATTAATTATTGGTTTAAGATTCCCAACCCATTGCCAATGAAGACACCTGCTCACTGACCATCACATGAGACACAATAATAATAATAATAATGATAATAATAATAATAATAATGATAATAATAATAATAATAATGATAATAATAATAAAAAATAATAATAATAATAATGATGAAATATAAAATTACATGTACATGTACATGTATACATAACGGTTTAATATTCCATTGGTTCAGTACATTAAATTTAATGCAATTCTATTCCAACAAGTACTCATGCAGTAGAGTCTTGATACCTCACATACATGTACATGTTCATGTACTGGACATGTGCTGTACTATACTGTCCACTTCACTCAGTCTCCAGTCCAGACAACACCAGTATACTTATATACATGTACCAGTACTGTACTGTACTGTACACTTACCATCTTGTTCCTTTTCTGTTAGGAAGTCAAGGGAGGCTCTCAGTGCCCTATAAGAAGAAACAGCTTTAGCATTGGGTTCTGGATAGAGAGAGGGAGAGGAGAAGGGAGAGAGAGAGAGAGGGAGGGAGAGAGAGAGGGAGAGAGAGAAGGAGGGAGAGAGAGAGGGAGGGAGAGAGAGGGGGAGGGAGGGAAGGAGGGAGAGGGAGGAGAAAGCTCATTCAAGCATAACGTACAGTACATGTATATTCTCTACCTTGTGTCTCATCCTCAAGGTCTTCTTCATCTGGTAAGTTGCTGATCTGTGAAAAAGCTTTCCTCTTTTTCAAATAATTGACAGCTGCTTGGAGCTTTTGCTAAAAAAGAAAACAAAACAATAAGAAATAAATAACAACAACAACAACAACAACAATAATAATAATAATACAGTATAGCGGAAAATTTTCATGGCCCAAAAATTTTGCAGACTTGTTCAAAAATCAATTTCGTGGCTTACTTTTCGGCCATCTTGAACTGTATTAAATCATTTTCAAGGATTTTATTTTCATGGATTTTGAAAAACGCAAAATCCGCGAAAATTTTGGGCCATGAAAATTTTCTGCTATACAGTAATAACATCATTATTACTTCTCTCTCCCTCACCTTGTCTCTCCTCATTATAAACAATATGTCTGACAAGAGGACACTCTTTCCATTCTTCCTAGACACCATCTTCACAGAATCACTGATCTAATGGATACATGAACAAAATTAACATATAATTACATGCAGCTGCATCATTCCCTCTCTCTCCCTCTTCTTCCCCCTCTCTCTCTCTTTCCCTCCCTCACCAGTTCAGTTATTTCTTGATATATTATTTCCTCAACGAGTTGAACTGACTCTACATTAGACTGCTTAATGTCACCAAACGCATGCCTAACAATTAATAATAATAATAATAATATTAAAAGCGAATTCATTTATAACTAATAATTAACTAGTTTTCAATTTTATTTTTCTTCTATCACTAAATTAGAGTCGATCGTTACAAATAGATATTACATATAAAGTTACATGTACATGTACATGATGATGCTAAATGATGTAAAATGATGTCACTACTATCTAATGATATACCAGAACTAGAGATGTGGACGTATACATGAAGATGTACTTAATTAATAGTTAATAATAATAATTATTGTTGTTATTGTAATGATATTATGTTTTAAATTCAATTATCATAACATTATATTAATAATATTATTAATCTTTATTGATTTAGCAAATCATGAAACATTACCATGTGAAAGATTCACTTCACAAACCAACAGCTGCAGAACAGACGATAATACACATGTACATGTGTTCATGAAATGTATTATTATTATAATTAGATTATAGTAAAATTAATTGAATTAGTGAACCACTCTCTTGAGATATTGACAGATAATGCAATGATGGGATAGTTCAGACCACGCCCCTCACCCCACCCACCACTTACATCATACCAGATATCTCAGAATGAAACATGTTGACATACTACACTTGTAAAATAGTGTAAACTAGAAGGAACTAGGGAGGGAGGGAGGGAGGGAGGGAGGGAGGGAGGGAGGGAGGGAGGGAGGGAGAGAGGGAGAGAGAGAGAGAGAGGGAGAGAGAGATTAGTAATCATATCAGTACATGTAGGTACATTATACAGTGAAGTGGGTGTATTTCGTCTGGAAAGTGCTCTTTCTAAACAAGATTATTAGGATTAGATATTTTAGTTTGCTTTGCTTTTGAGCAGCCATTTTGTACAGGTGAATAACTGTTTTCATTTGGAAAAAAACATCATGTATTAGTTTCGCAATGAGAACAAAAATAACACAATTAAACACTGACGGAATACACCTCCTATACAGTACATAACAATAATTCTTCATTCTAAGTGTAGGGATAATTAGCTTGACAAGTGGTCTGATTATCGTAAAAAGAATAAACTAGCTTACACCTGGCAATACACTACTAATTGAGGACACTCAATAATTTGTATAAGCACAGGCTGAAGCTGCCATGGGAGAATAACAAAGCTGAGAAAGAATTTAAGGAATTTAATTATTAAAAATGAGTAAGGCAACTAACAGGACAGTACGGGGATGTGTGGTCTGCGTTAGAAAGAAAAGGAGACAAATAAGAACCTAATTGTGAGAAAAATAGAGAGAGAAAATGCATTTTTTAGTTTCATTTTCACTTAAAACATCTCAAAAACTTACAAGAAAATTTCGAGAAAAGAATAAAATGGCGGGCGATGCCTCACGTGATCCACTAATTAACTAATCAGAGGTCACGTGATATATATGAATATAATTAAAATACGTGAAGCCAAAAAGAATAAAAAATGAGTTCGTCGGCGAGTGAAATGATGTGATTCTTTAATACAGGACTACTGCAGTACAATATAGTGTGTGTGTATATATCTTCTCTCCTGCTCTTCTAAGGCTCCTCTGGTCCTTTCTCTTTTACTAAACGACTACTGAAAACTCTTAGATTCTCTTCATTTCTCTCTCTCTCCGTCCACTCCCCCTCTCCTCCTCTCCCTCGACTACAATTCACTGAACAACGTGGAGTATTATAAGAACCAAAGGCGCCATCATTCTAAGACCAGCTAAGCCCAGAGCTCGTTTACAACCTACAACTGATACAACAGCAACTCAACACTCACTCTAAACCTTTCCAAGGTAAGCGTGGAGCAGGATAGAGCATAATGTAATGTATTTCTTTGCTCACTCGCTAGCTTCACAAACTCACCTCAACCTCCGTCTCTCAGTCTTCAAGAAGATCCCCCTCTCCCACAATAGCTATAACTCTAACTTCATTTACTAAAGGTAAGGATATTCTTATACATGATTTACTTACACACTCTCTCTCTCTCATGTTAGATAATAATCATTCATCATACACTAGTAATACACTAATGCCTTTAATCATGTCTTCTGAATCAATCCCACCTCCTGATGGTCCCCTACCCCCTCCCTCCTCCAAACGCTATCGAGGAGAAAGAACCTTCTCCGAACTATTAGCGGAATACCCTGGAGAACTCGTAACGACCGATAGTCCTAACTTTGTATGTACTATCCTTCCGTCCCACTGGAGATGTAATAAGACCTTGCCCGTACCGTTTAAAGTACTATCGCTCTCCGATATCACTGATGGTACCAAGGTGATACTAACAGCTGGTAATGATGAGAACTCAGCCGCTGAGCTTAGGAACGCCATAGCAACTTTTAAGAACCAAGTGGCTCGGTTTAATGATCTTCGCTTTGTCGGTCGATCGGGAAGAGGTGAGAGGGTGAGGGATGTAGACCATCATGTATCATTTTGTGTTAAGTGACCTATCATTCATACCCCATTATTGCTTTGACTAGTTGTAATGGGCAGCAATAGATAACTGGCCATTAACATAAGAGGCCATTAAACCACTTACTGTCTGCCCTTTTATTTGAACAAGTTTATAAGCATAATGTACAGTCTAGCTTCTATAATGAGGACACCTTTATAATGGGGACATTTTCTGATGTCCCAATTGGTACAAACCTATACAAAAGTACCTCTGAAATGAGGACACCTCTGTATTAAGGACAGGTAGTGTGGGTCCAATGGTGTCCTTAATAAAGAGGCTACACTGTACATGTATTAAGGACAGGTAGTGTGGGCCCAATGGTGTATAGAACCACACCTATTGTACTAGTAATTTGTTGTGTGTTAAAATATATACGTAGTGTTCACACACATTGATTCACACAATAATATTGTAATTCACTATCATTAATTTATTAATTTTAATATTATAATTACAACATTAAAGCATGTAAGAATTAATAACGAAATAAAAAAATGAAAATTATAATAAATTTATTTTCTATTTAGGTAAAATGCTGACAGTAACAATCACCATAGTAACAGAGCCGGTACAATACGCTACTTACTCTCACGCAATTAAAGTGACAGTGGATGGACCAAGAGAACCAAGACGTAAGACACTGAGAGAGAGAGAGGGAGAGAGAGGGGGGGGGGGAGAGAGAGGGGGGATGTTAGGTGTATATACATTTTATGTACATGTAATGTGCAGTTGGTAATTTTTTGGTAAGATTAGCGGAAATTTTGGTCGTTGGCAGGTTCTTTTAATTACATGTACATGTACATGTATATATTTAATTTGGTGATTTTTGATGTCTGCATTACTTAATGTCCATTACTGATTGTCTGCTTTTAAATATTGGAAAGAGATATACATGTACATCTAAAGACTTGAAATCAACAATCGTTCAATGTATATCCTCTACAATGTACATGTACTGTAGCCTATCCTTTACAAGTTCATGTACTGGACTCAGAGGAATTAAGATAATGATACATGAACTGTATGTGTGATCATCATTGATGTACTGTTCTGTATTGTTAGGTGAGATCAGGATGTACTGTGTTCCAATTGTCACCATTATATCATTATCATAATAATGAAATCTTTTGTACTTGTCTCTCTCCCCCTCCCTCCCTCCCTCTCTTGCACACATGAAATGTAAAATGCTTTCATGTTTAATGACCTGTGACTCAAATTGTAAAGAATGACTTTAAATAGCAACACACACACACACACACATGTGTACATGTACATGTACAATGTATAATGTATCCTATTGATAGAAAGTGTTTATTAATATTGTAATGTTTATTAAACAACACATTGCTTTATAATGGGAGACAAATCACAGCTACTACAACTAGCAGTACATGTAGTGGAGTAGGGCAGGCCTAGTCTACTAGTTCTTTTATACTAATGGTACACTATCACAAGTCCTATATTCAATTCTTGTAGACTGTATATGGACTTTAAACTGTTGATGTCCTCCTATCTCTTCTTGATAAGATATACATGTACCTGTCCTTAATACAGAAGTGTCCTCTTTTCAGAGGTACTTTGTATACATGTAGGCTTGTCCTCATTATAAAGGGGTCCTCATTATAGAGGTGTTATAAGGTGTCCTGAGATTAGTATTAATAATAAAGTATGTGACAATGTTAGCAGCTTTGATATGACAAGGTATTTCCTAATTCTGTGTACAAGTTTAATTTGAAATGTCACTAATGGCCTCTCACACTTTCTCTCTCTCTTTCTCTCTCTTTCTCTCTTTGTTTCTAGGTAACAGAGCCTCTACTAGATCAGATGATCATCCTTACCTAAGGCCTAATCCATTTATGGGTCATTTGTCACCAGCTGGAGCGGGTCAGGTCCCTCCATTAATTAAAGACACAAGGTGTCCTCCATCTGGCAGTATAGACCTTGAAGGTGCCATGGCAACCGATCCTTCTTGTAGACCACCTAGTATGTCTGATGTCTTCCCAGCTGGTGAGTATAGGATCATCTCTCTCTCTCTCTCTCTCTCTCTCTCTCTCTCTCTCTCTCTCTCTCTCTCTCTCTTTCCCCCTCTCCCTCTCTCTTCTCATTGTGTATACATGTACATGTATCTTGCTAAATTTATCATTTTTTAAATTACAAGTAATTTTGCAGCTGTTCTAGTGCATTCACTTAAAATTTAAATGATCTGACATACTGTACTGAGCCTGCTGCTGCTGTTACTATGTACATTATAATACAATGAAGTATTGTATAATTGCATTCCATGAAAATATTTTACTCTAAAAATTGCTCTTTGAGGCCGCGAAATAAACCAGCAGCTGCACTGTCGTTTAGTCTGCCTCTTTCTCTCCTACTTATTAATTTATTTTAGGTATTTTTAGAGTTTCTTTGTTTTACCTTATAAGGAACCAGTCAAACTGGTTTTAATTAAACAGGCTTTGAACATAATCTACATCTTGTACGTGTACATTTAGCAGCTTTAGCGTCCATTAATATTATACAGACTAGCCTCTATATAATGGACACTTTGAAAGTGTCTCTGTTATACAGAGGTGTCCTTTATGTGGAGGTTATTTTATACAGTAAGGAATGTAATTGGTACACTAGGTGCTGTCCGTTAAATGGAGGTGTACGCTATAGAGAGTGTCCATTAAGAGAGGCTATACTAGTCTTGTAGTGAATGTGTGTGATTTACTATGCTGCCCTCTTGTTATTGTGAGTATTTGACTGTGTCATGGAGTCTGTCCAATTTATGTTAACAAAAGGTTTTGTTTTGAGTGGGCGGGGCACTATACACTAGTCCATTAATATATTGCTACCATAAGAGAGTGTACATGTACATGTACTCTCCAGGTGTACATGTACATGTAAGTGCCCGCCCTCTTCTAATGATAATCGCTAATGCAGTTTGTATAACTACTAGTGAAAGACTAGAGCTACTGGTACATTATCTTTATCCTACTGGCTTACTTGTTCATGTATACATGTTCATGAAGATAATCATCATCAGGTCACTTACATCTGCTAGTCTCTCTCTCTCTCTGTTTCTTTTCTCATATTTATTCTTGTTATAAATTATCCTCTTCTACTCCTTCCCTTTTACTAAAGAAGCCATTCTCTCTCCCTCCCTCTCTCTCTCACTCCCCCATAAAGTGAAGCCATCATTAATGCATTAATATACAGTACAGTACTACTGATACCTACTCCATACATTATGGAGGGCCAGCCCTAGTCCTTTAAAAACTACTTAGAGGGCTGGCCTGTGGTTTTGGGTTGACACTCTGAGGTTTTGATCTAGCTCTTCCTCCTCAGGCCCTATACTGTACCTACACTCCTTCTCTAATACTAGCAGCTAGTGTACTGTGTAGTACTAACAGACCCTAGTGTACTGTGTACATTGAGCCATGGCTTCTTTTAGTACTGGCATTATATGATTATAATGCCTGTAGAGTGACTTATACCTTTTAATGGTTTCATATTATTGTACTGGAGGCAGTTAGACACTAAATTGTAATCTTGTTAAGTTAAGCCCTTGAACCACTGTGTCTTAGCATGAGGTTTTAGCCTCTCTTAATGGACACTCTCTATAGCATACACCTCCATTTAACGGACAGCACCTAGTGTACCAATTACATTCCTTACAGTATAAAATAACCTCCACATGAAGGACACCTCTGTATAACAGAGACACAGTGTCCATTATAGCAAGGCTAGTCTGTACATGTACATGTACATGTTAGATTGTGTATGGTTAGTGTGAGACTGTTAGTGGAATATTTGTTTATTTATTAATTATATTTATTAGTTTATAATTCACAAGTGTATTTATCCATTATTAACAGTATCATCAACAATACACCAGCTCAATAAACACCTTCCCCTATACATGTACATGTACATGTATAGGGGAAGAGCCTATGATAGTGTGTGTGTGTTCTTATTATTTATTATTGTAATGTGATAC